TGGAGTTAAGTCTCTGAACTGCAATCTGTACTCCATGCTGAGTTTTAATCTGAGGTGAAGCCAGAGGTTTGCCTTGCAGGAGATCCCAGAGCTTCAGCTGAGCAGAATTTGGCCCACCAAATGCTGTGGTCCACCAGGTCTCCATTATAAAGCCTTTAGCTATTAGATTTTTAGCACTGCTTGGATTTACTGGTGTTATTTTTTGATATTTCACAGTCAGTAACCAAGTGAATGTAAATATTAATTGCAAAATGAATCAATTTTTTTCCCCCCTCTACCTTTGGTCTGTGTAATTAGAAACATTTCTCCTGTGTCACTGTCCACTCTGCTGCTCCCTAGTTTGTTAGAGGGTGATCTCTCCTGTCCCACAGACTCCAAAGGAAATTAGCAGTGTTATTACCTGTGGCAGCTGTGGTGATGCACAGAATTGTCCCTCTCACAGTAATGACCTTGAGTTTTATGAAGCACCTCAAGGTTTACTAACAAGGGTAGAACTGCTAGAAGTTTGTTAATTGAAACCATGAAATATGTTAGAGAGGATACAAATGAGTTTAAAGCCAATTCAATTAGAGGTGCATCTGTTTCCAAAGCTGCTGGAGAAATGTTTATTTTCGCATCACTTTTAAGCCAGTCTCTTGGAATGCTGCTGGCACTGTTGTTTAACGCTGAGTGCAGACCTTACACCCACAGCATATTTATCTTTTGGAAGTGCAACTGCCAGGTGGAGGCATCCCTGATGTTTGCTTGTAAACCCACTGATGTCCTGCTTCTCCCAGCACAACCCCATGTGGCACCACTGACACCCCCCAGCCCATCACCCAGCTGCCTCCTCTTGCCTTGGCTCTGCTGGGTGGCACAGCAGAAATGGGACAATAATTGTTCTTGTGCTGTGTATTTGTGCCTCTCTGATGCTGGCACAGGGTGCACAGAGAAGCTGTGGCTGCCCCATTTGTCTGGAAGTGTCCAAGGCTGGGTTGGACAGGCTCGGGGCAACCTGGGATAGTGGAAAATGTCCCTGCCTATGGCAGAGGGGTGGAACAAGGTGGGTTTAGACCAACCCAAACCTTCTGTGATTCCATGACAGCCACCAGACCATGCTTCTCACTTTACCCACCTGATGTTGCTGTCTCTGGGCTGCAAAGGGGAATTGAGGTGAGTCAGGGCTGCTGCACTGTGTGTCTGAGCCTTCCCAGGACATCCTGTGTGATCTGTGGGTGCTTTGTTTGTTAGAGGCACTTTAGAGACTCCATTTGTGGCTTGTTGAGCAACAAGCACACTATTCTTAATGAATAAATCATAGTAAAATGAGCTGTACAGCCTAGGTAAATTCATTTGCTCATCCCATTATGTTGACAGTGTCTTAGTAGAAAAAAAATCTGAAATAAATGAGCTTTACTTTAACAGTGTTTGAGATTTTGAGGAATAGTAATAATAATTTTAAAAAGTTGGTTAAAGGAAGCTTCAGGAAATAATCTAGGAGCACATGGAAAGCAGGCTGAGCACATGTGAGAAATAGAGAACTTTCTTTTTCTATGGAAGCTTTTGGAAACATAACAGTTGTTTGGTACCAGGTTTTGCAGAGGGGAGAAAAATGGGGTTGTGATGGATGAGTAAGAAATTTAAGGATGACACTGACCAAACCAGCTGTGTAAACTCAGCTTTCAGTTGGTCTCCCAAGCTGAACAACAGTAGCTCAGAAATGTTATTTACTTTATTCATATTCTGTGATGGGAAGAATATTTCTCTGGATAGTAGCTTGAATGTAGAATTCTTTATTAATGGATTGTTTTAATAGCATATTGCCCTTGGGGGTTTTTTGTTTATTTAGTATTGTGCTTCATGCCAAAGTTACAAGTTTTCTAGGCAAGCCAAAACTAGGATTACTGTGGATCTTTTTAGTCCCCTGACAACAGCAAGTGATTGCTTGGCTCCTACAGAAAAAAAAAATATCCTGGTCTCACAGGCAATGGATGAGCTGAGTACAATGTTATTTACTGCTCATCATAAAAGATAGCCAGCCATAAAGGCATTCTCTGTCTGAGGGTACATCACAGGAATATTTTTGGAGGAAAATTTTGGTTGAATTAAATCTTTGCTCTATGAATAAATACCTTAGCATGGGATTAACCTTAAGTGGTTGATGGAGGAGTAATGGCAGTCTGTGAGGAGAGTTTGAAGGAAAGTTCCCATCTTGATTTTGTAGCATTGTTCAGTATGGAGAATCAGCTTCCTCTGGACAATATGGAAGTGTAGTGCTCTGTACCTGTCCAGGATTTGATTATATTTAATGTAATTAAGAAAGATGGGTGAGGAAACTCAAAAAGGAGTGAGAAGCCTCTTAGCAATGGAATGTCCTTGGAAATTGTGTGGTTCACTGAGGGATAACTCGCAGCACTTCCTGGGGATGGAATACAGTAAGTTCTTCAGTCTTCACAGGGCAGTCTGTGCTGGAAGAGACCATTTAAAGGTGATCATATGAACCCAATGAGCTGGACCAGACTGCTCCAAGCCCCAGCCAACCTGGCCTTGAACACTTCCAGATGGGGCATCCACAGCTTCTCTGGGAAACCTGTGCCAGGATTCTACCACATTCATTGTAAAATCTTCTTTTTTGTGTATAAGAAAGTTTGTTTATTGTAACTTCTCCTTCATCTTACTTTCTTCTATTTTTGGTAGTCTATTTCTATTTTTTGTCTTACTTCTTTTTATTATAGATGTAGATCTTGAGCTGCCTAAAGACTTAGCCCATTTTGCCTTCTCTGATAAGTTGATAACCCCTCTGACTAATCCTACTTTGAAACAAGGCACTTTCTTTGTTTCTGTTGAGAGTTAATTACCCAGGCTGTCACACAGCCCAAGGAAAGATGATATTTCATACGGTGGTGGAAGAGAACTCTTTGGAGAACTGCCTAAGAAATGCTTCTCATAAATCTATCATGAGAAAATTTATTTTACTTATCATAATGTATTATGAATTGCTTTGAGTGGCAACCTAAGTAGATGGAACAGAATATTAGTGGGATATTTGGGAGTTTTATTTGGAGGAAAAAAGTGAGTCTGTTTTGGAAATAGTTGCATATGTATGTGCATGGGTGTCGTCTCACTGAGGTAAGCACACATGGTTGAAAATACCTCAAACATTCCCGTATCACTGGAATGGATTCAGAAAATTAAGATACCCAATTCCAGTGGCTTTGGAGGCACCACAACAGAGAGAGATGAGAGGCAGCAAAGAAAACCAGAGCACTCTGTATGAGCACAGGTCTGCAGCATTGGGGAAGAGTTACAGCATGAGTTCCATGGGGAAATGATGGCAGCTGTCAGGCTGCAGGGTGGGCGCCGTAAAGAACCGGGGAACAGCACCATCACAGGGAATCAGGAGAGCAGAAATACAGCAGCACCCAGCTGAAGGAGCTGTTGCTACTGCCGTTTTTTAAGGCACTGTTTACAGAAGCAACATCAGTATTTCTTGTATCTCTAGAAGGAAGATATTTTCCAGCAGATGGATGCCTAAATACGCCTGAAACCTTTCTTGGTACTGACTTCAGTGTGATGAGCAGGAGGGAGGCAGTGAATTGCTGCTGTGGGTTGATTCCCAGGCTGTAACACAGTTCTGGTTTGGAGTGAGCAGAAGGCTTGGGCATGGTTCAGCCAGTAAATCCAGCTCTGAACCACAATAATCTCCGTGCCTCAGCCTTGGTGTTTCATGGTTGTCTGGGGCTGTTGTCTGGGGGTTTTGGACAGCAGTTTTTGGGTTGGGTTTTGTTGTTTGGGTGTTTTTTCCCTTTATGCTGCAGTGACTGTCACCTGGGTAGATGGGGGGAAACCCTTCCTGAAAGAGCTGAGTTAATGAGTTTATTTGGTATTCTGTCGGTGAGGAATCAAGAGGGAGTGTTTGCATGATGAAAACCAAACAGAAATAAAGCACATAAAAATGTGAAACATCAGAACAGTGGTAGGGATGAAGTTCAGTTATTTCCATACCCATCGTTGCCAGAGCTGTCAGAAGGATGAAGCTGCCTCTAATAAAGGCTGATCTTAGCAGCCACTGGCTTTCATGATCTAACATGAAATCTCTTTTTTGTTTAAATTAAAATAATACATACAGACATGACAAGCAGATAATATGAACCGGGGGAGAATGAATGCAGCATGGTAAGCAGGACGCTGCAGGAATTATTCCACACTGCCAACCCAGGACTGGTGCCACTAATTCCAGGGAGACCCCCAGGGTTCAGCCACCTTCCAGTGCTGTTCTTCACACCAAGAGCTCCACAGCCACTGCTGGGCTCTGAAAAATGTCTCTTCCCATATGCCACCTCCTAAAACAGCTATGGGGTTGTGCCTTTTTGGAGGAACCAGTTATGTTTTAATGCACAAGGTGATCCTGCAGATGTCTGGTGTTGTGATTTTAAGAGATGATGATCTTGTGAGGACTTTCATGTCAAACCAGATTAAGGTGAAAATAAAGCTTTAAAATGGCATTTTTGAAACCCAGAATAAGCAAAGCATTAGAAAAGAGATATAAAGAGAACTTGTGAGATGTGGGAAGCAGGTTTCAACTGCTCCTCCCGAGATCAAATCCCACACTGCTCCAGCTGGCAGGCAGGTCCCTCACACATCAGTGTAATGCAGAAGGAGTACACAAGTGGGCTTTACACTTAATTCTCCAGAATTTGTCATGGCCACAGCCTAATAAGGAAGGTAATTACCACACATTGGTGACTACCAGCTTCACAACAGGTACTTTTGCCAGCGTGTGTCCTTTACATCATTCTGTTTTATCACTGCCTTCATTGGACTAAACCAAATAGAAATTATTTTTAGTCACTGCTGTTCTTCACAAATAATACTGTAACCTCGTGTTGGATGGTGTTGGCAGTCTGCCAAGTGCCTTCTCCTTAAGAAGTTCTTGTTTTGTGTTGGTTGCACAGGTTACATCAGAGGATGGGAGTTCGTCGGCTGCAGTGATTAAAACCTCTCTTACATTTTTGGTTTAGGTTACATTGAAGAGCCTTGCACGGTCCCTTGCCCGTTTGATTGCAAATTAAGCGATTGGTCCAGTTGGTCTCCTTGCAGCTCTTCTTGTGGACCGGGGGTGAGAGTCCGATCCAAGTGGCTCAAGGAGAAGCCCTACAATGGAGGTCGTCCCTGCCCCAAGCTGGATCTCAAGAATCAGGTGAGAGCCAACAGAGATCTCTCTGTGCTGTGTTTTGAGTTGGGATCCAAAGTTACTGGGCTGGTGATGAAGTTAAAGATGGGAGTTATCTCTGGGACCACACCTTGGGTCACATTTTATAGGTAATCCTTGACCTTCTTGAGGACTGAGGGAGAGGTGCTCATGTATCAGCAGAATTTTACCTGAAACACCATATTTATCATATAAAGAAATTGTTATCTCCCAGAGCACAGGAGGCCTTGGATTAATAATCCCACCTGGACAGCGTGTAGACATCAGAGAACTCGGATGTCATGGATATTTTACAATTTTTTAATTCTTTCTGAGACTCTGGTTGCTGTAGAAACGTTTGTTAAATAAAAATCGCTAATTTTAGCAACATTTCCCTTGAACACAGCACAGGTTCCCTTGAACATTAATCTCTGTATCTTCAATATTGAAGTATCCCATCAGATGAAAATAATCTTTAAATTGCTACTCTTAAAGGAAGATCATCATCTATTTAAATGCTACTTAATTCTGTATGCATTTCTGCAAAGTGCATAGTGGTTTTCTACATTTGCTGATTAATTCTTAGCACTAATTAACACTGATGAAGTACTGTTTAGTTTTGTCTGCCCTATATTTCAGATTCAGCCATGAAAATTAATTAATAGGACAGAAACAGTCATGCTGAAGGAAGTTCATGCATATGTTATGAATAATGTGAATATGTATATGTATAAAATATGTGACATGTAGAAGTACTTCAGTGGTATCATACAAACATTTATTTGGTATGTGCTAGAGCTGGTGGATTCATTTGTTTTTCTGCACAACTATTGCTGCAGCAGTCCTGGAATGCAGCACCACTTCCAGCTCCTGGTTATGAATTTGCCTCATTTTCCTCACAGTTAATTTTATTTTCCTCTGAGAAACTTGGTAAATACTCCTTGGATGTTTTTTTCTTTCCTTCTTCTTTTTCCTTATTTCTCTTTGAAATTCATCGGAAGTAGGCTAACAGAAGCAGCAGGGACTACAGAAATATAAAACTGCTATAAAGTGTATGTTGTCCATAGCTCAGTGCTTTTCTTAATAGATCAGACAGATCACCAGAGAGGCAAAGTGAAATCCCACAGTAAGTGATAAGGTAACAATAAGCTCCTTTGTAATGAAAAGATACTGGGGTTTGTTACCCATAGACACAGCAGACTCCTTCCATTAATAGCAAACTTATTGCTATCATGTGTTGCCTATTCCCACACACATTAGAGTTGCCAGTTTCAAAAGCCTTTCAGAGGATATTAAAAGAAAGAAATTGTTCAAACTTGGAAGTTATGTCTTTGTACAGTTTATTGGTGCACAGTGCTTGCAAAGTGCCACGGCTGGTATTAATATAAACGTGGTTGGTGCTTTTTGCCTCTTTACCAGGAGCACACGTCATGATCTAAAACCCACTGAATTCATTAGAGGCTTTCTGTTACAGGCTGTAGTGGAAATAAGGTAGAATTGCGTTCAGGTCTGTTTCTTTAGGTTTGTGACTTCTTGTTTTCCAAGGTGCTTTTTTGGTTGGTTGCTTTTTGGAGCTTTTGTTTCTTTCCTTGTGAGTTTTGGTTTTTTTTGGATAAAACAGAAGCTATTTCTAACTGGTTTGGCACACAAATGGTTTATCTTCTTTGGATTAATGTTTAAAGGATTGAGTACAATTGTATATATTTCAGAGCTTTTAGGGTAAGAAGAAATTGTTGTGCTAGTAAGAAAAGTGTGTATATATGTTCACTTAGACATGCACACAAATGGACATATTTTGCCTGTGCTTCTGTTCCTTGCCTTCCTGAATGCTTCTCAATACTTTGTGAGCTCCAGAAGGAGTTTTGCTCTGCACCCACTGGGCTTGGACTTCCAGCCCAGATTCAGCACACAGAGGTCCCTGGGCACGTTGCAGGTTGCACAAGTTGCCCACCCAGATGGTAAAGTAAATTCGCTGATGGCACTGCTGCTTAGCTGAGATGGACACACATCATTAATCCACTGTCAGGCAGATTGTCTGCTGCTGTTCCTTCTGGTCTGGGCAGCTTTTTAAAGTTTTATTTATTTTTGTTTTATTTACCTGCAGTAAATACTGGCTTTTGTTTGGTATCAAACTGTATCACCATTGTGCTGAGTTTTACTTTTCAGTGGCTATTGTTTTATATTGTGTTTTATGCATTTGATAAGATTTTAGATAACTTAGAACAAATAATGAATTCCTCCAGGTGCTAGTAGATTGCTCTCATGATTTCCACTTTATTTTCTCCAGTATCTTTAGTTATTTTGGTTTTGATTATTGCTTCTGAAGCTGAGTCTTGCTATTGCTTAATCAATTACTTTGGAGAACTCTCCATTTTTCCAGTGTCTTCTAATTAAATCCCTCAGTCAGTTTGTGTCTTTTTCTTAATCCAGATAATCTTTTCACCCTCTTTTTGTGCAGGGTGCTGTCTAGGCTTTTTGGCAGACCCCTATATATCCTTTTCTTCAGTGCGTTTCAGATATTTGACATAAATCTAACTATAGCGTTCCTTGAAATACTATTCTAGCAGTTCTTTCTTACCATTTCCCACCATGTCTGGAGCTCTGCCAATACAGATATTTAGTAAAGCTACTGCTTTGGACAGAGAGACAATTTGCATGATCAAAAAAACCTATTTTATGAACATAAGTAGTTACTTGAGTCACAATAAACTGTGTTGTAAAAGACTCCCCCAAGAGTTTGTCCAGTCACTGTAGTGCAGCTTGCTTGTGTATTAAGGATAGAATATTTTAGCAGAAATTTGATCTTGTACAGAAATAATGTCGTGTCCCATTACTGCATGATATTCCATGGGGTTTGTGCTCCTTATTCCACAGAGAGTTTGACTCTTCTGGAGTGTCTTGAAGCCATTCTTTTGGATGTGTTCATCTGCCTGTAGAGCCTCTCAAGGAGCCCACTCTCTTTGCAAGAGATGTGAGAAGTAAACTCAGAGTTAGGAGAATTAATTCAGCTTTTTTGTATTTATTCTTCTCATTGTAGGCGATGGACGAGGTTGAGCCCTTGAAGATTTTATTCCAGGCTGTTTTCTGATAGAGGTGCCAAACATTTGCATGGGCTGAATGCTCCTGGTATTCTGATAAAATCACTCGATTTGATATAGTCCCTTCAGACTTAAACTCTGTCTGTATTGCTGCCCTGTGAAATTAAAGGATAAATTACAATATTTGGGGGAAGAGATGACAGTATTTTAATGCAGCTCCATGTAATATGCAGAATTACTTTTGCCTTGTACCTCTGTTTGAAAATGGTTGAAGGGCTGCCTAACTACATTTTGCTCCATCTCTTAAAGAAAATGGGCTTTGCATGTAGGGGCTGTGCAGCTCTTATCTGAGGATGTGATTGCTTCTGAACAGCCAATTGGATTAGGGGGTCAGCTGGCAGATGTTCTTGGCTGTGCTGTGCATGTTAAAAGAGGTGTAGCATTTACATTTTTCTATCCCTGCTCTTCTTTGAATGCACTTACACAGCATGCAGTTGCTATTTAATATGTAGTTCTACATGATGAAAGGTTAAATATGAGTTAAGGGGGGTTTATTGCTTGAATATTCTTTTATAGGTTTTTAGGATTACTGTGAGAAAATGCATCTTATTTTCAAGACTCATGAATTCCAAGGATTATTTTTTTTATTGATTGCTCTCATACATATTCTTGTCAAGATTTTCCCTCCTTCTCCTTCCTCCCCCTCTCTCTCTCTTAGCCAATACTGCTAAAGGACAAATATCATAGCAAGTAGTTTATATCCTCCATATATGCTGTATATATTTAAGCAAATGTTTTTAAAGGATTGGGAGTATTTGTAATGGCAGGCATAGCAGGAGAAAAATGTAGTGTATTTAGAATGTAAACTTACTGCTTTCATTAAAATGAATATTTTATTCTTAATGACATTTTCTGGTGTTCACTGTAGAATAGGAGAAATACAGACACTTTGCACATTTGAATTGCAAGTACTTCTGAAATTGCGTAGAGGAGTTTAAGGAAAGGGAAAAGGAGGGTGGTGCTGTGCTTACAGACCACATCTCTCAGAAACAGGTGTGAAGATGTGTGAATTTCTGGAGCTTTTTCATAGAAAGTGGCTGCTTTAGGTCCACTTGCACTTGAGAGAAAACAGTTATTTTCAGCATTTTCAAAACTTTTAGATTCTTGTATTAGAAGTTTGGAACACAGCATCTTTCATTGCTGTCACTGAATTAGCTCCCATCTAGTCCTGGCTGGCGAGTTGCATGTATAACCTTCTCCTTCCAGCATTAGGAATTGGTCTTCAAGAATATCATTATTAATAGCTCCTGCTCAAATCACTTCTTTTATAATACAGATATCTAATTTTCAGAAAAGTCACTGAACTTTTTGAGGTACTCAATCTCTTTCTCTCATGGATTTCAGGTGCCAGTAGCTCATTCCTGAGCCTAGTCCTGTATCAGTCCATCAGCTGTATCAGATCCCTGCCTGTGCCATGCAGGAAATCATCTCTCTTACATTTTTCTCTGGCTCTATCAGCACTCATTTGCTTGAAGTGCAACTTAACTTGTGGAAAAAATCCTATCCTTAATCTCAGTTTTATCTTCAGAAGGTCTGATTTCCTCCCACTCTGCCTTAAAGGAAGGAATTACAGCATAAAACACATCTGTCCTCTGATTCTAGTGCAGTTTTACAGTATCATAAAAATGACAAGTTTTTTTTGCCTGCTGCACTAATGTGGGAGAATTTTCAGTGTCAAAAAATAGCAAGAACCTCCTGTTTCCCTTTACACTTTTCTTGCTGTGACTGGAAGTTTTGGTACTAAACTGCAATTTAGTTTGTTAAATGAGCAGAAGTAGCAGCCAAATCTGAGCAGCCTGAGCAATATCTCACCTTCCTGAAGTGAGGCCCCCATGTTGGTGGGTGTTGGTTCACTTCCATGGGAAATCAAACCAGTTCCCATGTTCTCCTCCAGGATAATAACCCTGTAGT